TATAAGAATATAAAATGCTTTCTCGCAAAAAAAATAAAAAAAAATATATATATATATATTTTTTTCATATATTATTAAAATATTTTAAATTATACAAAATGCTTTAAGTTTATTTATTAAATAAGTAATGGATAAATATTAACGAAAAGTTGCAAATAAAATATAATATAGAATACTTCATTGTCTTAAAAATTTCTTGAACTTTTGAATATCGACTGAAGTAGCGAGCACTTCCAGAATTAAATATTGAGCATCATTAGGATCTGGTTGAGCGTTCGTTACTGTCGTCATTTTGTACAACCAGCTGGCTGCAGGACTGCCCGATTCTACCCTTACACGTGTGCGTAATAATCCAGTGACGGCCAAAAGAACTTCCTGTATTTTCAAACGTAACAAATCGATCCCTGTAAATATTTAAATAGTCTCGAGAAGCTGTTCTCCTCAAAAAGTATTTATTCCATTCTTTAGCGATAATAATAAATTCTAATCATACCTGTTAAATTCGTAGCAGAAACGGCGATTGCGTCTTTTGGTACACAATCACTTTGAATGAGATCGCATTTATTGGCGACATCGATTATCGGATGAGTCTCGTCTATCATGGGTTTAATCGTTTGCTGAACGTGTTGATACTGTGCTTTCATATCAGGATGACTGACATCATATATATGAATTATAACATCCTAGGAAAAGTCTTAAATTAAAAAAAAATTTTCCTTTAAAAAAATAATAATTGTAGATTAAAATATAAATATATGTATATATGTAATGCATACAGCAATCATGGCATCCTCCAGAGTTACAACAAATGGTTCAATCAAAGTTTCTGGCACATCTTGGATGAATCCAATAGTATCCATGTACAATATTTTTAATTTGTTGGGTAAAACTCCTTCATGCGCAGTTGTATCAAGAGTTGCAAACAATTTATTTTTAGGTTGAAGAGATTTGTCATCCGTAAGTGCTTTTATTAAGCAAGTTTTTCCTGCATTTGTATAACCAACCACAGCAACTATTGGAAAACCATGCCTTGTACGCTGGCTTCTGATATTTTTTCGATGCTGTTGTAATTTTCTCAATTCGTTTTTTAATTTCTTTTCTCTATTGTCAAAGATTAGTTTTGTCTTTTCTGTCATTATAATGCCATTGCGAGTCATAGATGTTTCAAGCATTTTTTTTCGGACATATGGTACTTCTGCTAAAGCTACTTGCAATTTTGCTTCTACACTTTTTGCATGCTGACGAAATATGTGGACAACTATGGAGTAACGATCATACACTGGTAGACCAAGAATTTTTTCCAATTCAGCAATTTGAACAAACTTTAGCAGATTAGTACTGACAAATATGGCAGTTGGGTTTTCGCATTTACTTAATTCTTTCTTCAGATTTTCCATCGCACCAGTACCTAACAAAGATTTCTTTTGCAATGAAAGTAATGGAGCATACTTTGTCCCAACTACACACCAGTTAGACAGAGTGTTTACGAGTGCTACAGCTTCAGCCATTTGTAACTCTGGCGAAGTGTTTCTCTTCTTGTCTTTCCCCCATTTTATGTATGGTTGCAAAACAAATGTTCTGTGTCCTCCAACTGCAATACCTAAATAATGGTTGGAAATCTCTGTATACGCTTCCTGGTCCTTTTCCTCATCTGCAGGTATATACTCCTCGGAATCATGATTGAAACGGCAAACAATATCTTGGAGCAATATTCCTGATCTTTTACAGATCGTGTTGGCTTTGTTACGCACTTGTAAATTATGCTGTGCTATATTTAGAATCTTATGTATGCAATGCATTTTATATTTACAAAATGCTTAGATTTTATAGTTAATATAATAATTATTAATTCTATAAATTATACAAAATATTCAATATTAGTATAATTTTATTATGTCTTGTATATAAAATCACTTAATCTTATTAATGATATGCATTAATATCATTTCATTTTTATTATTTGCATAAAAGCAAATAACAAATATATATACAAAAGATAAACAATTTATATCAGGTACATTTATAAAATTATAAATAGTGGGAAATTACACTGCCACTTACAATTGTGTTATCCTCTGATGTTATTTATTTGTGCGAGGTTATGTTAGTCGTTCTAACTTCATTCCTGGCATGATAAATATGCACATACAACAATTAATATTTGATACGATCTTCTCGCATGATGCAATCTTTCTCATTAAAATTATTCAATGTAATTCATATTCCATCAACTATTCACGCATAATGCTAGAATAATATATCGATCAATTATGTGAAAATATTAGAAGACGACATTTCTTTGATCAGCTGATTGCAATTGATTGTGGCTGTATTTCGTTTAAGCTGACAGTACATTATGTATATAAATAAAAATATATGTATATAAATGATTTTTCAGCATTGCCGATACCGGCAATCTGTATCAAAAACACAGCTGATTACCACAGAGAAAGAGAAGTCTGAGAGGGGTCTCGCGTCTCGCTGCCGTTTTTCGTAAGAAGCTTTTTCTAGCTGGTATAGTAGCGCTAACTAGATCCATTTTACAGCCAGCGGAACTGCATGGTTAAATTCACTTTTTGGTGCCACGATAATAAAACGGCAGTTGGTACATGTCCGTGCTAGATCCATAATTGTGGATCAAAAATGCGGAGAAATAATTATCAATTTATTAAAGTTTTATTAACTGCGCGTGATGTCATTGTCATTCTAGTATATATTACGGACAGCAATAATAAGTTTTATTATTGAAATATTTTTTATGTATATACGCATATAAAGCGAAACAAATTTTCTTAAATTAATTTTCTTAATTTTTTTTCTGATTTTTAAATATAATGTGTAGAAGATATTTATAATAAATTGCTTTCACTTTTCTCTTATTCTTGGTACAAAAATATCAAGCATTTTAAGTAATATCAAATAAGACTTCTAATTTATATAGTTTATTATTATTATTAATTGTTAAATTTATAAATTTAATTGGATGCATTAATGCGCACCGTTGCACATTAAAAGTTATTATATACAAATTTATATAAGCATAAATAATTGAAACAATAAGATAATTAATACAATAATTAATACTATAGTCTTTTGAAAATAAACACATAACAATACATATGCTTCGCTTAACGCAATTTTCGCTGGAAGAACAAGAAATTCTTCGCACTCATTTATGCACCAAATGCTTCAGAGTGAAAATAGTATCAAACGGAGTACACCTATTGAATATATAAAAACTTTTTAAAAATTTTTATATTTCTTATTTTTTTTTAACGTAATTTTACTTGATTAATAAGATTTTTACGAATAAAATGACATCAAACGCAACATTATTCGGATAAATTTTTATTAGATAATAATCTAAAAATTAGATAACAATTTTTTTCCTTATCAAAACAAAAATTATCCGACATATATCGTGTTTGATATCATTTTAATTATAAAAATCTCATTAATCCATTAAAATTATTTTCTAAAAATTACTTTCTAAAATAAAAAATAAATGTTTTAGTTTTTATTTCATAAAATTTTTAAATATTATAGATAAATTATTATAGATAAGTAAAAGTAGAGGATAATGTGTAAAAGTATAAAAATATAAAAATACAAAGATGTAAACCGGAAGCCATTCTAAATCGCATGACAAGAATGATGAAAAAATAATAAAAAATACTATCATTCTATCATAAATTATTATCAATTTCTCAATTTTATATTCTGCATAATTTTTATGCTCATGAATTTATGTTATGTGTATGTATGTATAGGTATATTATATCAGGTCTACCGGAAAGTTCTGTCCGTTTTTGGAATAAAACAAAATACAAATTTTTATTACCGTCAATAAACTTTATTAAATAATGTAATTGCCATTATTATTAATGATTTCTTGCCAGCGTGAGGGCAATTTGTATATCCCTTTTTCGAAAAATGTTTTATCTTTTGATGCGAAAAATTGAACCAGTGCTTGTTTGATATCTTCTTCATTTTTTAATTTTTTGCCCCTCAAAAAATTTTGTAAGGACAAAAACAAGTGATAGTCGGTGGGTGCTAAGTCCGGGGAATATGGTGGATGCGACAGAATTTTCCAGCCTAGTTCTGCAATTTTTTGACGAGTATCCAAAGCAGCATGTGGCCTGGCATTATCATGATGCAGTATGATGTTCTTCCTATTGTACATCGCCGGCCTCTTTTCTTGGACTGCTGTATTTAAATTATCCAGTTGCTGACAATACTTCTCCGAATAATGGCAATTACATTATTTAATAAAGTTTATTGACGGTAATAAAAATTTGTATTTTGTTTTATTCCAAAAACGGACAGAACTTTCCGGTAGACCTAATATTTGTGTTGCATCCTATAGCTGAATTTATTATTTGTACGATCTATCTTGTAATTGCTTTTTATACAATTTCACACACATTATAGCATAAAATTGATTATCATATCGTAAAAAATACTATATCTATTCCTTTAACTAATACGAAACATAAATAGACATATGGATTTTATAATTAATCATATGTGTGATTTCTTGCACACACAGTTCCTATATCTCTATGATTAGCAATACGTAAAAGATTACGATCAGCATTTCTGTTGTATAACAAAAGTTAGAATGGAATATGAAATAAGATTGAGTCTTATCTGACCTATTGCTATTTTCGGTGAAATAAGCAATTAAAGTAATTAAGAGTAATAAATCAAAAATAAAAAACTTAGTGCTGCTATAATAATTCTTACATGTTTTACTTATTTATATTATTTAATACAATATTTGCATATTGATCATAATTTTTCTTTATTATGATAGTCTGATAGAACTGAGATCCGACAATCTAACAATAAGATACTCGTTTGCATATGAATATATGATTTTACTTTATTATTGCGACTTAGCGCGAGTTACTAGCTCTTACTACTACTAAGTGTTTCTTGATAATTGCGATTAATGACGTAACCATGTAAGACTTCAGGATGCAAACAGGTTTTTAAGCATAATACTTCATTATGCGCTTTTATAATAGTAGAAGCATTATCTATAGAGTTGAATAGAAATATTAACGAATAAAATGATATATTCGAAATAATTTCATCTTTTAATTGCACATTTCTTTGTAAATCGAAAAGATAATGAGCTAAATTGAAAGAAATTTGTTGCCGAAATAAATAAATTTTTTACTGTATTTTTAATATCAATTTTTTTGTTTTTCTGGAAAAGTTTTTCGATCGTATATAAGCATCTGCTGTAAATTTTCTTCCTTCGAGCTTTAGCTAAGCGCTGCATGTAAATTCATTTTTAGTTATCATAGATTTTCGAGAATGTTTATCAACAGAGCATAAATGTCTAACTAACAAAATGTTTAAAATTATTTTGTCGCTGAATTAATGAAGATACTATTTGTAGAAAATTGTTAACAAAGCATTTTGATCGAATCACCCTGTATATATAGCTTTACAGTAGCAGGTAGTGCGTTTCTTCTACGATTCGTTACGTCTGGTAGTCTGATAGTCACGTTTCTCGTACGATCTTCTCTACATGCATCTCGAAGATAAAAATTGCGATAAAACTGTATACAATATCGATTTTATCGAGTTCAGTGGGAAAGTTAAAAATCTACAGCAATGTTATTCTCATAAGTGTTAACGTAAACAATTTTAAATTTAATTTAAAAAATCTTTCAATGATACACTGGAATAAAAAAAAAACTCGCAATAATTTCACTTTGTTGCATTCATACATTTGCACTTAATTTTCATTTAACTAATATAACTACAAGATAAATATGCACAAAATTAATACAGAACTTTCTAACTGTATAATATTCGAAATATCCATAATAATTAATGATGTAGTTATAATTAAGACTAAGCTCGATTGATTTAATCGGTTAATTATTTTAATACCGTTAAATCTTCAAAACTATTAAATAACATTGCGTTAAAAATAAGTGTAAAATAATTTTTTTGACAGTAAAGGTAAATTGGATGTATATCAAAGATAAGAATAGTTCCACGTCGCACGATTTGATAAAAAATTCCTATAAGGATAATAATAAAAACAGTATTGTTCCGAAAGAGATGTGCGACAATATTACTTGCATTAGGTTATGCTGTCCTTTCGGTAATCGCCTGTTTAATGGAACATGCATTGCCGGACAGGGTAATTTTATTTTCCTACCAAAGATATATGGATACTTTAATGATTTGTTGCGAAATGAAAATAAAAGCGTAGACAATCTTTTTCTTCTGATCGTTCACGATCCCTGTCAGAAGACTGGACAGCCATTCTCCATTCCATTCTCAAATAAGATAACGTTTTTCGTTAATGGCTCTTTACATCTACATTCGTACAACACAATTGTCAAATCAACATCTTATTGCCTCACTAATGTGGCTGGATACAGATTTAATGTGAATCTTTGTTTTAAGATTAAGAGCAAGACCATAGATAACACTCAAATTGTATCTGTTCCGATACAAAAAGTATCGGACAAGTATCAAACAAGTACGGTCGTATATATATGCGGCTTTTTAGCGACTCTACTATTTTCGTTGGTGTTGTTTATAGTGTACTCCATAGTACCAGAACTCCGTAATATACATAGCTTCATATTACGTGGATACAGCGGCTCGATAGTCATCGTGAACACAGTCGAATTGGTAAAGATATTCATCGGAGGGGATGTTATAGAAGGCTTCATCTGTATCACATATGGTACATATTCAAATTATATAACAAAGCAACCAATGCAGCGTTTACATCTATTTGAATTATTAATGTATACTGGCGGTTTAATACTTTTTGATAACTTAAATATTGAATTTATAATTTAAAACTTTAAAAACGTAAGAGTTAATAATAAATAAAGTTATACTTTTCGTTGCACTTTAACATCAAGTTAAAATCTACATGTTTATCCGCTATAAAAATTTTACAAAATTATGCCTTAAATTAAAAAATTATTAAATTTAACATTAGCATATACTTCTTAAATGTAAGGTTTCTTTTTATAAATTTGCAGAAGGTTACGTCCACTGACGTAGAGTTTTTTTCACAAACACATAATATAACTGTGAATTTTATCACAAACTTACTAAATGATACGACGCTTATTCTATTGTTTCAGCTTTTGTCAAATACTATTTCTATTTGGCACGCTGGTTCTGGTTAAGTGTAATGAGTGTCGATATATGGCGTATATTTAGGTAAGCTTCGATTTATTTCACATTATATTTTAATTATGACGTTAATGGAACTTCATTCAAAATTATACTTTTCGTTGCACTTTAACATCAAGTTAAAATCTACATGTTTATCCGCTATAAAAATTTTACAAAATTATGCCTTAAATTAAAAAATTATTAAATTTAACATTAGCATATACTTCTTAAATGTAAGGTTTCTTTATATAAATTTGCAGAAGGTTACGTCCACTGACGTAGAGTTTTTTTCACAAACACATAATATAACTGTGAATTTTATCACAAACTTACTAAATGATACGACGCTTATTCTATTGTTTCAGCTTTTGTCAAATACTATTTCTGTTTAGTACCCTGGTTCTGGTTAACAGTAATGAGTATCGATATATGGCTTACATTTAGGTAAGCTTCGAAGTATTTTATATTATACTTTAGTTATAACGTTAATGAAACTTTATTTTCAATTTTTTCTGTTTTTACCACTGAAATTAATCAATTTTACAATCTATTGTACATTTTGCCCATTAAAATCATAATGACCACTATGAAAAAGATTTCATAGCTAGTCGGCAAATTTTTTTCTAATTCAGGGTACTTAAATGTGCAAATAAAAGTGAAGAATAATTTTTGTTGTTGTTTTACACAATTGTCTTCTAAATAAAAATAAAAAAGAGTAATTGCTAATTTTTTCGTTATTTTTACTTATTTCCATTTACATAAAGTCTACATGTTTTTGAAATAATTTTGGCAATTATACCATTCAATAGAGTAAAGTTTTAGCCTTAATAATCTGTTTTTGGAATTGCGGTACCATGATTTTTAACGAAGTTATGAGCAATCAAAGTCAACATTCTCATTTTATATTTAAATAATATTCGAAAAATCCATAATAATTAATGATGTAGTTATAATTAAGACTAAGCTCGATTGATTTAATCGGTTAATTATTTTAATACCGTTAAATCTTCAAAACTATTAAATAACATTGCGTTAAAAATAAGTGTAAAATAATTTTTTTGACAGATTAAACGCACAATGTTTAAACTAGGCTATTATTAAATAAACTAAAACTAAACAAATGTGTCAAATTTAAAAAAAACGCAAGAAATTGTTAAGGCTAAATAAATCGAAATGAGCATTTATGTTGTGCCGCGCATTACTTAAATCATAAATTTAAGAAATCATAAGCTTCCATAAACCATATGCTTCTACAAATCATAAGTTTCAGAATCGCGAGACTAACAGAAGTAAATAAATATAATACATCATTTCAAACTGTCAACAGTACAAACGCTCGAGAAATAATCGAAATAGCTGCTTATCGACATTTTGTTTGAAAGTGTATTTGCGTATTTCACTGCGGCTAAAACGTCGTCAAATCTTCGCAATTATACAATACTTGTTTACATCACTTGTTTTCTCTCTTATTTTTTTAGTTTGTGAGTTTATTATTGTGGCCGTTAGATTTCTCTACGTGAAACTGTTATGAAAAAGACACCAAGAAAGTTTTTTCTCAAATAAATTCAACGCACCAAATAATCGACGATGTATATGAAAAGTCTCGCGCTTTGGTATTACATGCTTCCACTCATCGCTTCATCTTCGATGCTTTGGCCAAGTTCCATGAGCGACGACAGGGAAAAAAATTATTCGACGGTGCAATATGAGCTTGGTGCAAACATCATGAGAAATGACGACGAAGAAGATTTGATACGATATAATTTGCATGAAAATTCTACCAAAAATAACGATGTCATGCAATTTTATATTTAATTAGCGATAATACAGTAACAAAAGATCTTAGAAAAATTAAAAAAGGTGGATTTTGTAGAAAAAAACTTTAAACTTTCGCATTAGAAAGTCGAAAATTTTCGCAGATGTTTATTTGGGCACATGGCGAGCCCACAAAGTGAGAAGAAAATTTCCCTTTTTGTCCATCTCATACTTTTCTATATGTAAATATTTCCAATTTACAGAAACTCAAAAACAATAATGATCTCTTGAAAGTAGAGATCTTAAGCTTTATATAAGACCCTTTATAGGATTTAAATTTTGTTTATTTTTAACGAACTTATACCTAACTGAACTTTGCATATATTTTAAGAAAAATTGAGTGTTCCTCTAATTTTTGTTAGACACATAGTTTAGTACACACAAAGAAATCATAAGTTGCACTTTTATAAGCTAAAATGTGCTTAGCTTTTTTATATTTTCTAAAACTTCTACAAAGATTTTGCTGGAAATTAATTTTTTTCAGTTTTGTAAGGTTGTATTTAATTTTTAAAAGTAAAATAGTTTTTCACAAACACATATAATATAACTGTGAATTTGATCAGAAACTTATTAATTGATACGACGCTTATTCTATTGTTTCAGCTTTTGTCAAATACTATTTCTATTTGGCACGCTGGTTCTGGTTAAGTGTAATGAGTGTCGATATATGGCGTATATTTAGGTAAGCTTCGATTTATTTCACATTATATTTTAATTATGACGTTAATGGAACTTCATTCTCCATTCTTTCTTTTCTTATCATTAACATTAAACAATTTTACAATTTTGTTTCCTCATAGAAGAAGCTTCGTTTCCGTGACAAAATTTTTCGAGTTCTTTATGCCAATGTGTTTAGAATGTTCCAAAATAGTCGATTGGTCGAAAATTCATATTCTTAAAAAAATGTATGTATGCATGTATGTATGTACGCAATGTTTGTACAACCGCTAGCTTCCGCAATTTTTGAGATATCGGGTTAAATTTTTTTTATATGGATAGAGTATTATTAAAGGATGATTGGTATTGAATTTGATGAGGATCGGTGAAAGGGTTCATCTTTTATAAAATTTTAAATTTTTTGAGAAATATCTGTATATGTTCTAACTTTCTCAAATTTCGAGATATCTTCCTGTATGAAGAAGCCAAAATTAAAAAACCCGCTTGCTTATAAGAGCTTAAGTTTTATGAGCGAAATAAAATAATGAGGAAGCAATGTGCAAGTTTCTAATTTGCACAATTTTCAGCTTGTTTTTTTATGTTTTATCCAATAAAATCATAGTGGTCACCATAAAAAAAATTTTATAGCTATTCAGCAAATTTTATTCAAATTTAGAGCATTTAAATGTACAAAAAGGTGAAGAATAATTTTTGTTGTTATTTTGCACAATTGTTTTTTGAGCCAAAGGAAAAAAGGGAGTAATTGCTAATTTTACGTTATTCCATTTACATAATGTCTATATGTTTTTGAAATAATTTTGGCAATTATACCATTCAATAGAGTAAAGTTTTAGCCCTAATAATCTGTTTTTGGAATTGCGGTACGATGATTTTTAACGAAGTTATGAGCAATCAAAGTCAAGATTCTCATTTTATATTTAATTAGCGATAATACAGTAACAAAAGATCTTAGAAAAATTAAAAAAGGTGGGTTTTGTAGAGAAAACTTTAAGCTTTCGCAATAGAAAGTCGAAAATTTTCCCAGATTTTTATTTAAGCACATGACGGGCCCACAAAGTGAGAAGAAAATTTCCCTTTTTGTCCATCTCATAGTTTTCTATATGTAAATATTTCCAAATTTACAGAAACTCAAAAACAATAGTGATCTCTTGAAAGTAGAGATCTCAAGCTTTATATAAGACCCTTTATAGGATTTAAATTTTGTTTATTTTTAACGAACTTATACCTAACTGAACTTTGCATATATTTTAAGAAAAATTGAGTGTTCCTCTAATTTTTGTTAGACACATAGTTTAGTACACACAAAGAAATCATAAGTTGCACTTTTATAAGCTAAAAAGTGCTTAGCTTTTTTATATTTTTTAAAACTTCTATAAAGATTTTGCTGGAAATTAATTTTCTCAGTTTTGTGAGGTTGTATTTAATTTTTAAAAGTAAAATAATATTGTCGAATTGATATTCCAAATTATTTATAAAATATAATTACATTGTTTAATTCGTGGTATTACATTACAGGCTCTTTCTCAATTTCCTTTTTTTAACGTTTGAAGAATCTAAAGTCGATACCATTTTAATTATTTTTTCTTTTTCTTCTCTAACAACGTAAACAAATATGAACAAAATTTTCTATTAAAATTTCATCTGCTAAATGAAATTGAAATTCAAAATTGCTACTGTAGTGTCTGTGTCGTGCGCATATATGAATACATAGTTTTTGTCATGTCGTAATGTTGGATAATGTAAATCAATTTTTATAGTTACATATAGATGAGATGGTAGATTTTCTCAAAAATTTTGATCAAATGCCTTTATTTTAATGTGCATTTGCATCGCGATTTCTTCTGTTTTTACCGCAAAATCTAAAGTGTAAGCTATTCTTTGCAGAAAATTGCGCTCGTTAAAAAGAGGTGCGAAAAAGATAAAACAACAAGAAAGAAAGAAGTTAATCCAGTATTCCGCCTATGGGTGGGGAGGCCCCTTTATGCTCGCTATCATTTATGCTATTATGGAGTTTGTTCCTGGTGTACCGGAAAACTTTCGACCGACATTTGGCAATGATGAATGCTGGCTTAGTGGTAAGTAAATGCCACATTGATAAATAATTCAATTAATGCTAATACATAAAAATAAATATAAGAAATTCATTTCTTATTGTTCATCATATTTTCAGGCAAAGCATATTTGTTCTACTATCTGGGAGTTGTAATTATTTGTATTATCATTATTATTATCTTATGCATCTGTACGGCACAAAAAATCGCACACTACGAAAAGGACATTGCTCATTACCTGAAAGATTCGGAGAGCCGACGTTATAAAGACAACAAGCAATGGTACATAAGCAATATTTTTGCATCAATGCGTCATAATTTATGTCATTAATGATATATATCGAGATATTAATAAAAAAAAATTTATCAACAAATTATATTCATTTTCAAGAAGAGAGAAACAGAAAGAGAGAGAAAGATATTATCATTTTAAAATGGCATTTCTGTGCGGCAGCTTTGTTGTGTTTTGATAATTAATCTTAAAAAGGTGCAAACATCGCTGCTGCTTCAAGAACGCTCGCGTTTTCTTAAGAAAATTTGTGATTTTTGTGAAGATGATAAACAACAGTAAAAATAAAGTTAAAGTGTAAATGTTTCTTATTTCATAAAGACAATAATCGCATTTCTTAAAAATTTTAAAAATTTATTATCTTTTTTATCTTTTTTTCTCTTTCTTTCTTTCTCTCTTTCTAACAATAAGTATAAAACTAGCATTATTAATTTTAAACTTTATTTGATTAATGTAGTATTTATTGGTATTATTTAGAGTTATCTAGATAATTATATATGATTTCTCGAAAATATTTATCTTTATTAAACAAGAAAAAAAACTTTGAATATATTCAATCATAAATTTATTAATAACTATCGAAGATATAAAATATTCATTTTTTCAATTATTTAATTATCTCATTCAATTATTTTATTTAATTATTTTGCAGGTTTGGATTGTACCTGGAGGCAATTAAAGTCCTATTTATCATTATATGCGTAAAACATTTTATGTACGCTATACAATCGTTCTGTGAGGAGTCATCTGTGACGTCATCTTCCCTCCTGTATATGTATGCTGTGGTGGACGTCATAGAGCAGTTTTGTATCTTCATCATATTTGTATGGAAGGAGAAGATTAGGAAGCTACTGCTGAAGCAATTCGGTTGCCAGGGTCACGGTCTGTTTTCAATAGGTCAACGAATTATCGCATCCTTAAACATTTGCACCACTACGAGAGAAACGACTTCTCTGTAGGAAAAGATCAATCCTTATGGAAAAACATCGCGCAAAGACTTCGTCCGATTCGACCGATCTTTAGTGCTAGTATGCGCGACAGAAAGATTTTATCATAGATCAAAATTGACAGTTATCCTGTGATTAATTACAGTGCTAAAACATTTTTAATCGATGATTAATTTGACATTCTATTTGTATCGTAGTTGTATTGTTTTGTGTAACAGAATAATGGTCGTAATCTCTACTTGTCAAATACATATTTGTTTATTTCTCGTCTCTTTTTTTGTTTTCTGATTCTTTAATAATATATTTGTAAGTCTTTATTTTTAATTTTCTTTGCAATTTGCATTTTCTAATTTTTTGATAACATTTTTTATTAACATTATCAAAGAACTGTTGCAACATTTATTATGATTCGTACATAATAATATTATTGAATTATCTTATATTCACATTATTATTAATAATGTAATGGAAACATATTATATCAAGCGTGCATAAATGCGATTGCTAAGTATATAATATTATTCATTATGTATGCATAACGGATGTTTTTGTTAACACACATATACATACACACACGCGCGTGCGCGCGTACATACGCGGTCAAATTCTTTTAAACTAAATTTCTTTATTTTCAAATAGTTGAAATCATCTAACATAAATGTGTGTGTGCATGCATGTGTGTGTGTGTGTGTGTGTGTGTGTGAGAAAGAGAAAGAAATTTGATAATTCTTTTAATAAAGTTTATTTTAATTTTAATTTGTATAATATAAAATATGATCTTATATTGAAAGTTCTCTCAATGTGAATGTTTGTTTTTATGAAAATAATGGCAGATTTATAACGTACTATATATGTTAGTATTATAATTGTATCATAACTATATAACTGTATAATTTGTATCACGACTAATGTGAATATATAAATATACTATATAATAAATATATTATCATAGAAAAAATACTAGGTGAAGAAACTAGCAAATAAGAGCCGAAGCGCGGTCACTTATCATTTACCGCTTTCAGTTTTGATTTTTGATTGAAACAATTAATATGCTCTTGTTAAAATGTGAATAAAAATTTAATTATTACATACTGCTAATTGTTATCTATACTAAAGATGGATCGAAAAACGGTCCGATATGTACATATTTAATTCATACTTGTTAATGAAATTAGATAACAAAAAGTTTGCGCACTAATACCGTGCCTCGGCTCTTATTTTTATCAGTTTTCTCATCTAGAATCTTTAGTACTGTGAGCCTATTGCTGTTATTATAGAAAAAATGGATGATCTATATCGCTTATTAATACTGCACGTAAATAAGTAACATGAATCTGCAGTAATTATTTTTTTGTACGCACAATTTACAAACACCTAAAATTAACGTTAATGCAAAAATCATACTTCCTAATATTTGATCCTTAATACAATGGTCCGCGTTATATCAAGAAATTTAATGTAAATGGGACAATCTTTTCTAGAAGAAAAATCAAGGCGTTTCAAATCAATGTGAGTCAAAAATATGTTGGCGCCATCGTTCTATCTTCGATATTCCGTAAAAAATAATTGTTAATGAATTTCTTGATGCGCGCGATATGAGATACGGACAATTGCAAACCGGGTTTTATATAATATTTGGTTTTTACGTAACAGACATATATAATGACATTTATAAAATATGATAATAGAATAAATAGAATTTTTTTTGCATCTGTACTTGATTAATTCCTTTTCGATGTAAATCTTTCGATTCCATATATCATGTATTTAATATAAGTGAAAAATCTTCATTATTTACTCGCTTTCTAATCGCTTTGTAAAGTTGTTCTTATTGTTAGATATTATAGTAGGAGAAAACGGAGCAAGTTCTGACAGGGACACGTTGAGACAATTCATTTAAATTTCGCATCATTTGGAATTAACTACGAAAGTGCTACTAGTATAGTTTTATAAACAACTTTCAAATATAAATATAATTTTAGCATCATTCAAGTATTGCTCTTTGAGAAAAAGTTTATAATTTTAAACAAAAGTAAAATAAAAAAATTATATTTGAAATTATTTATAACATTATTAAAGATATTGTTGGTAAGTATTTTGTTGCTATAGAATTTTGATTAGATATTATTTGAAGAAAATATTTTTTATATTTATTCAATTTTTTTTAACACACACACACAGTCAAATGATTATGATAATTGATCAATTTTTTTATATTATCAAAAAGATGAGTTAGTTGTGATATTGTTTGAAAGATTAGATGTGACAATTGTCACAAGCAAATGTAAAAACTTTATGATACAAATTCATTCGTTTTATTTTAGATAAATAAATAATGGTTTGTAATTGTAATTATACAAAGAACTAAACGAGATGAGATTTCTCATAAAAAAATATAAATTAGCCGCGAGGAAAGTAGTACCAAAAAGGTAAATTATCTGTATGACAAGCATCTGCAAACAACAGTCAAGGCACACGGTAGTGTCTCGCGTCAAGTTAATGCGCACTACCATCGAGGCACTCCTTATATCTATACACGAGTTGGCTAGTGAGAGTATCTTAGATTTTATCGGATCTCAATAACGATTGAACCGATTAAATAGATATATAAAGATACATTATAATACCGTAAAAGATATTATATCTATTCCTTTAACTAATACAAAATATTAATAGACATATGGACTTTAGTCGTATGTGTGATTTTCTGCTCATGCAGTTCCTATATATTCTATGATTAAGCAGTACATAAAAGATATCATATCAATCAATCGAGTGTTTCCTTTATATAAAAGTTAGAATGGAATATGAAGTAAGGTTACGACTTCTATCTGACCTATCGCTATTTTCAGTGAAACAAACGATTAAAGTAATTAAGAGTAATAAATTTTAAATACAAAAAAACTTGTGTGCTGCTATAATAATTTTCACTTATTTTATTTACTTATATTATTTAACACAATATTTGCATGTTAATAATTTTTCTGATAAATGTCCGAACATTTACCATTTTTCTTTATTATGATAGTCTCATAGATTTGAAATCTGAAAATCTAAGATACTCGCTCGTATATGAATACATGATTCTCCTTTATTGCTATCCTTGACTAACACGTGTTACAAACGTGCTCACGATAATAACGATTAATGACGTAACCAAGAAAAACTTCAGGATGTAAACAAGTTTTCAAAGAATTTTTATTTATCCGGCTTTATACTAGTAGACATCATTACCTATACAGTGGAATAAAAATATTAATGAATAAACTGATGTATTCGAAATAATTTTATCGTTTAATTGCGTATTTCTATATAAATCAAAAAGATAATGAGGTAAATCGAGAGAAATTTATTGCCGAAACAAATAAAATTTTTGCTGTATTTATAATATCGATTTTTTTGTTTTTCCGGAATAATTTTTTGACCGTAATATAAGCATCTGGTGTAAACATAAAAATTTTCTTCTTTCGAGCTTCAGATAAGCGCTGCATGCAAATTCAGTTTTAGTTACTGTAATTTTTCCGAAAATGTAAGGGCTTACCAATAGGACATAGATGTCTAAGTAACAAAATATCTAAAATTATTTCGTCGCTAGACTAATCAGGATACCATTTGTAAAAGTTTACTAATAAAGCATTTTGATCGAACCACCCTGTATACATGGCTTTGCAATAACAGGTAGAGCGTTTCCTTCTACGATTCGTTATGTCCGATAGTCTCATCACGTTTCTCGTACGATCTTCTCTAAATACAAATCCCGAAGACAAGAATTGCGACAAAATTGTATACAATATCGATTTTATCGAGTTCAGTGAGAAAGTTAAAAATCTACTGCAATGTTGTTCTCATAAGTGTTAACGTAAACAATTTTAAATTCAATTTAAAAAATCTTTCAATGATATACTGGAATAAAAAAAAACAACTCGCAATAACTCGACTTTGTTGCATTCATACATTTGCACTTAATGTAGCATTTTTCATTTAACTAACATAACTACAAGATAAATACGCACAAAATTAATATAGAACTTTCTAACTGTATAATATTCGAAATATACAAAATAATTAATGATGTGGTTATAATTAAGCTCGATTGATTTGATCGCTAGATTATTTTAATACCTTTAAATCTTTAAAACTTTTAAACAACATTGCATTAAAAATAAAAGCATAAAATAATTTTTTTGAGAGATAAATGCACAATGTTTAAACTAGGCTATTATTAAATAAATTAAAAGTAAACAAATGTGTCAAATTAGTCTAATAAATTGAAATGAGCATTCATGTTGTGCCGGGCATTACTTAAATCATAAATTTCAGAAATTATAAGCTTCCATAAACCATAAGCTTCTACAAACCGCATGCTATTACAAACCATAAATTTCAGAATCGAGAGACTAACAGAAATAAACAAATATAATACATCGTTTGAAACTGGCTTAGTTTACACCGATATACTTTAATACGTACTAAGTACTACACTAGCCAATCAAAAACTAGTCTTTCTTCTAAAGAATGGAGTGGCTATGATTGGCCAGTGTAGTACTTAATACGTATTAAAATATATTAGTGTAAACTAGGTCACTGTCATCATTTCAAATGCTTAAAAAATAATCAAAATATCTGCTTCTCGACATTTTGTTTGAAAGTGCATTCGCGTATTTCGCTGGGGCTAAAATCTTCGCAATTATACAGTATCACTTGTTTTCTTATTTTTTAGTTTGTGAGTTTATTATTGTGGCCGTTAGATATCTCTCTGTGAAACTGTCGTAAAAAGAAACCAGAGAGTTTTTTCCCAAGTAAATTCGACACGCCAAATAATCGACGATGTATGGGAAAAGCCTCGCGTTTTGGTATTACATGCTTCCACTCATAACATCATCTTCGAAGCTTTGGCCAAGTTCCACGAGTGACGACATGGAAAAAAATTATTCGACAGTGCAATATCAGTTTGATGCAAATACCATGAGAAACTATGACGACGAAGAGGATTTGATACAATATTATTTGCATGAAAATTCTACCAAAGATAACAATGTCATGCAGTACGCGCATCATATCAATTTCACGAGTAACAACAGCAAGAATAATGAAGACTTGATACAATATAAATTTCAAACACATGTTGCAAAGAAACATGAGAATGATAGTCAAACACCGGTGCAGTATCGTATAAACTCAAGAAAAGCTAGCGGAAAGAAAAATTTCATGTCACGGGAAATCCATGGAAACTTGAAGGGGATCAAAGGCGAAAATGGTTCTACATCATATGATTTCTTAAAAAATTTCGATGGATACAATTTTGTTCTGGACGAGATGTGCGACAATATTGTCTGCATTCGGTTATGCTGTCCTTTCGGTAATCGTCTGGTTAACGGAAAATGCATTGCCGAGCAGGGTGAATTCATTTTCCTGGAAACGATGTATGGATATAGTAATGATTCATTGCTAAATGAAAGTAAACAGGTAGACGATCTATTTCTTCTGATCGTTGACGATCCGTGTCAGAAAACTGGACATTACGTGCTTAATTCCCACCAGAATACACTTCTCATCAATGGCTCTTTGTATTTACCTTATTACAACACAATCGTCGAATCAACATCTTATTGCCTTGCGGTCGTGGATTACGACATGTTTGTTATTAACGTTTGTTTTGATGTTATGGAAGAGATCATGAATAAGACCATAAACCATAATAAAAATATAATTTCTCCAGAATTTCTACCTGAAAGCTGGATGTATACTAAAGACAATTCCAATAGAGATAATAATAAAAACAGTATCGTTCTGGACAAGCTGTGCGATAATATTACCTGCATACGCCTATGCTGTCCCTTCGGTAATCGCCTAATTAAAGAAAAATGCATTGCCGGACAGGGTAACTTTATTTTCCTACAAAATATGTTTGGATACATTAATGACTCGATGCGAAACGAAAGTAAAAGCGTAGACAAATTATTTCTTCTGGTCGTTCACGATCCGTGTCAGAATGGACACTATTTTTTTTATCCCACACAGCAAAACGTGCTTCTTGATAATGGCTCTTGGTATCTACATAATACCAAGGATATTTATTACAACAGAATTATCGAATCAACATCTTATTGTCTCGCGATCGTGAATACCGAGTTCTCGGACAAAGAAGTTCCTCAAGTCGAATTTACTGTGAATGTTTGCCGTGACATTGCGAGCAAATTCATAAAGCGTGTCGATACCCCGATAAACCAAGATGATAGTATTTCCACAAGTACAATTGTATCTATATGCGGCTTTCTAGGGTCTCTACTGTTTTCGTTGGTGATGTTTATAGTGTACTCCATAGTACCAGAGCTTCGTAATATACACGGTTTCATATTGTGTGGATACAGCAGTTCGATAGTCATCGTGAACACAGTCGACATGGTAAAGATATTCAACAAAAGGGCTGATATAGCAGACTTCATCTGTATCGCATATGGTACATATTCAAATTGTATAACAAAGCAACCAATGCAGTGTTTACATCTATTTGAATTATTAATGTATACTGATGCTTTAATACTTTTTGATAACTTAAACATTTAATTTATAATTTAAAACTTTGAAAATACAAGAGTTAATAATAAATAAAATTATACTTTTCGTTGCACTTTAACATCAAGTTAAAATTATTTACATATTTATCCGTTATAAAAATTGTACAGAATTATGTCTTAAATTAAAAAATTATTAAATTTAATATTAGCATATACTTCATAAATGTAAGGTTTCTTTTTATAAATTTCCAGAAAGTTAATCCATGGACGTATAGTTTTTTCCACGAATACATAATATAATTGTGAATTTCATCGACATTTTGCAGAAACTTGTTAATTTACACATTGTTTATCCTATTGTTTCAGCTTTTGTCAGATACTATTTCCTTTTGACAAGCTGGTTCTGGTTAACTGTAATGAGTATCGATATATGGCGTACATTTGGGTAAGCTTCAAAGTATTTTATATTATACTTTTGTTATAACGTTAATGAAACTTTATTTTCAATTTTTTCTATTTTTACCACTGAAGTTAATCAATTTTACAATCTATTGTACGTTTTGACCAATAAAATCATAATGGTCACTATGAAAAAGATTTCATAGCTAGTCGGCAAATTTTTTTCTAATTCAAGGTACTTAAATGTGCAAATAAAAATAAAGTATAATTTTTGTTGTTGTTTTACACAATTGTTTTCTAAATCAAAATAAAAAAGAGAGAAATTGCTAATTTTTAAGTTATTTTCACCTATTTGCATTTGCATCATGTCTACATGTTTTTGAAATAATTTTGGCAATTATACCATTCGATAGAGGAAAGTTTTAGCCGTAAGAATCTGTTTTTGGAATTACAATACCATAATTTTTAACGAAGTTATGAGCAATTAAAATCAAAATTCTCATTTTATATTTAATCGGCAATAGTTCAGTAAAATAAAAAATTTTAGAAAAATTAAAAAAGGTGGATTTTGTTGAGAAGACTTTAAGCTTTCGCATTAGAAGGTCGAAAATTTTCGCAGATTTTTATTTGGGCAAATGACGGGTCCACAAAGTAAGAAGAAAATTTCTCTTTTTGTCCATCTCGTAGTTTTCTATATGTAAAAATGTCAAAACTTACCGAAACGCAAAAACAATAGTGACCTTTTGAAAGTAGAGATGTTAAGTTTTATATAAGACCCTCTTTAGGATTTAAATTTTGTTTATTTTTAATGAACTTATACCTAACTGAACTTCGCATATTTTTTAAGAAAAATTGGGTGTTCCTCTAATTTTTGTAAGATACTGTAATTAAGTATACACACAGAAATTATAAGGTACACTTTTATATACTAAAATGTGTAAAATAGTTTTTTTTATATTCTCTATAATTTCTGTAAAGATTTTGTTAAAAGCTAATTTTCTTTTGTTTTATGAGATTGTATTTAAGTTTTAAAAGCAAGATAATATTTTCGAATTGATATTCTAAATTATTTATGAAATTTTATTACATTGTTTAACTCGTATTACAAGCCCTTTGTAAATTTCTTTTTTTTAACGTTTGAAGAACCTAAAGTCGACATCATTTTAACTTTTTTCTTTTTATTTTCTCTAGCAACTTAAACAAACGTGAACACATCAAACTTCTTTTTCTACTAAAATTTTATCTGCTAAATAAAATTGAAATTCAAAATTACTATTATAGTGTCTGTTACGTGTACATATATGAATACATAGTTTTTGTCATGTCGTAATGTAAATCAATTTTTATAGTTACATATACATATGGTAGATTATCTAAAAAATTTCGATTAAACGCATTTATTATGTACATTTGCATTGCGGTTGTTTCTATTTTTCCCGGCAAAATCTAAAGTGTAAGCTGTTCTTCGCAGACACTCGTTACAAAGAGATGTGAAACAACAAGAAAGAAAGAAATTAATCCTGTATTCCGCCTACGGGTGGGGAGGCCCCTTTATGCTCGCTATCATTTGTGGCATCTTGGATTTTGTTCCTGGTGTATCGGAAAACTTTCGACCAAAATTTGACAAAGATTGTTGGTTTGCTGGTAAGTAAATGCCACATTGACAAATAATTCAATGAATATTAGCATATAAAAATGAAAAATAATATATCTATAAATCAAAATGTTTTTTTCGTCTTAAAGTTGAATATATATTTCATGCACTTACAAAACACGATTTAATATGAGAAACAATAAAAGATACTTTTTTCACATTTTTATCTTTTTAGGCTATATAACACGTATGTTGTGCGTTCACGGAATTGTAACTATTTGTATTATCAGCATTATTTGCTTATGCATTAATACGGCACGAAAAATCGCACACTACGAAAAGGACATTGCTCATCATCAGAGAAATTTGGAGAGCCGACGTTATAAAGACAACAAGCAATGGTACTTAAGCAATATTTTTGCATCAATGCGTCATAACTTATGTCATTTATGATATATACCGACATATTAATAAATAAAAATTTATCCACAAATCATACTATTTTCAAGAAGAGAGAAACAGAAAGAAAGAGATATTATCATTTTGAAAAGCATCTTTGTACGGCAACTTCGTTGTTTTGATAATTAATCTTAAAAAGGCACAAATATCGCCGCTGCTTCAATAGCGCTCACGTTTTCTCGAGAAAATTTACGGTTTTCCTGAAAATGATAAACAATAGTAAAAAGAAAGTCAAAGTGTGAATGTTTCTTATTTCATAAAGACAATAAATGCATTTCTTAATAATTTTTAATGAGAATTTACTATACACATATTCTTTCTTCGTATCTTTTTCTCTTTCTTTCTAAGATTAAAACTAACATTATCAATTTTAAAGTTTAATTTTATTAACATAACATTTAATGATATTTTTGCTATTATTTATAAATATCTAAAATTGAGATAATTATGATTTCTCGAAAATATTTATCTTCATTAAACATGAATAACATGAATGTTTTCAATCATAAACTTATCAATTGTCATAACCACCGAAGATAAAAAAATGTTTTCTTTTTAGTTCAATTATTTTATTTAATTATTTTGCAGGTTCAATCTGTACCTGAAGGCAACTAAAATATTATTTATCATCTTTTGCATAAAATTGCCCATGAATGTGTTGAGCTTTGAAGTGTCATGTACCGTTAGATATACTCTTTTAATGCTGGACGTCATACAGCAATTTCTCATTTTTACTATATTTGTATGGAAGAAAAAGATTGGGAAGCTGCTGCTGAAGCGATTTGGTTGCCAGAGTTGAGATGTATTTTCAGCAAAGCTGAAATTCAAAAAGCTATCGCATCTTCAAGCAATTACACGTCAGGGATGACTTCACTGTGGAAAAAGATTAATTTTTACGAAAAAACAAACCCTCGCGCAAATAATTCGTCCACTTTGATTGATCTATATTGCTACTATACGCGGCAAAAATATTCTATCATAGGTCAAAGATCGGCAGGTATCCAGGGATTAACTACAGTATTAAAACAATTTTTAATCAATGATTAGTTTTACATTATCGTTACATTATGTTGATCGTTTTGTTTGACAGAATGATGGTCTTGATTTCCATTTATCAAATATGTATTTGTATATTTCTCGTCTCTTCCTCTGATTTTTATTCTTTAATGATATATTTGTAAGCCTTTCTATTTAATTTACTTTGCAATTAGTACTTTCTAACTTTTTGGTAATATTTTTCATTAACATTATTAAAGAACTGTTGAAATATTTACTTAACTCGGATGTAACAATATTATTATATTATCCTATATTCACATTATTAGTAATAATGTAATGGAAACATATTGTATCAAGCGTGCATATTGATTGCTGAATATATGATATTATTCATTATATATGCATAAAGGATGTTTTTGTTAATACATACACTCACACATAGTCAAATTCTTTTAAGCTAAACTTCTTTATTCACTAATGGTTGAAATCATCTAACATAAAAATGTGTGCGTGTATGCATGTGTGCGTGTGTGTGTGTGTGAGAGAAAGAGAGAGAGATTTGATAATTCTTTTAATAAAATTTATTTCAATTTTAGTCTGTGTATAACATAAAAATTACATATAAAATAATGTCAGATTTATGATGTATTATACTATATGTTAGTTTTAATTGTATCATAATTGAATGTACACATATGTAAATATACTATATATTATCGTTATCATAGAAAAATACTAGGTGAAGAAATTGGCAAATAAGTGCAGAGGCGCGATCATTTATCACTTACCAATTTCAATGTTGATTTTCGATTAAAATAAGTAATATTGCGCATGTTAAGATTTGAATACAAATTTAATTGTTACATATTGCTAATTGTTATCTATACTAAAGATGGACCAAAAAATGGATACGTACATATTTAATGCATACTTTGTCAATGAACTTAGACAACAAAAAATTTACGTACTAATAACCGTGCCTTGGCTCTTATTTTTGTCAGTTTCTTTATCTAGAATCTTTAGTACTATGAGTCTATCACTGTTATAGAAAAAATAGATGATCTATTTCGCTTATTAATATTGCACATAAATAAATAACATGAATTTGCAGTAAGCATTTTTTTGCACGTGCAATTTATATATACTTGAAATTAACGATAATGCAAAAATCACGCATTACACTTTTTAATATTTAATCCTTAATACAATGGTTCGCGGTATTTCAATAAATTAATTGTAATTGAGAAAATTTTTTCCAGAAGGAAAATCAAGGACAAATGAGCCGAAAAGTGTCCGCACCATTTGAGCCATCACTCTATCTTCAATATCCTGTAAAAAATAATAGTAAAGGAATTTCTTGATGTGTGAGATAGGGACAATAGCAATCCGGATTTTTCATAATATTTAGTTTACACTTTAACAGACATATTGTAATAACATTTATAATATAAGATAAAAAAATAAATAAGGTTTCTTTTGCATTCGTACTTGAATAATTCTTTTTCGATGTAAATCTTTCAATTCTATATATCATGTATTTAATATAAGTGAAAAATCCATTATTTACTCGTTTTCTAATCACTTTGTAAAGTTGTTCTTATAGTCAGATATTATAGTAGGAAAAAACGGAGCAAGTTATGACGGGGGCACGTTGAGATAATTCATTTAAAAATTTCGCACCGTTTGGAATTAACTATGAAAGTGCTACTAGTATAACTTTATAGCTAACTTTCAAATATAAATATAATTTTCGCATCATTCAAGTATTGCTCTTTAAATAAAATTAAAGTTTATAATTTTAAACAAAAGCAAAATAAGAAAATTATTTTTGAAGTAATTTATAAGATTATTAAAAGATACTATTGGTAAGAATGTTTTGTTGCTATAAAACTTTGATTATATATTATTTTTTTTTTTGAAGAAGTATTTTCTATATTTATTCAATTTTTTTAACACACACACACAAAACACACAAAAAATTTCTAATTATTTTAATTATCAGAACTTTTTGGAAAAACAATTTGCATGCCCAATACTATACGAGAACTGTTTTAGAATAAACAGAACTCTTGAAAATCGACTAGCTCACCTTTATACTCGAAAAAATATACGTTTTTCGAATGAAATAATTGTTTAAAAAAATTTCTAATTATTTTAATTATCAGAACTCTTTGGAAAAACAATTTGCCCAATACTATTTGCCCAATACTATACGAGAACTGTTTTAGAATAAACAGAACTCTTAAAAATTGACCAGCTCACCTTTATATTCGTAATAATATGCATTTTTCGGGCGAAATAATTGTTTAAAAAAATTTCTAATTATTTTAATTATCAGAACTCTTTGGAAAAACAATTCGCATGCCCAATACTATACGAGAACTGTTTTAGAATAAACAGAACTCTTGAAAATCAACTAGCTCACCTTATACTCGAAAATGTAGAGATGCGATTGTCTTTATTACAATCTAATTAATTTTATTCTTTTTGCTTTTAAAAGGCAGAACTCTTTTTAGAACGCATGTTGAACTATGAATCTGTTCAATTTTGATAAGAAAAATGTCATAGGATAAAGTGAGACGCTGCGTGAAGTTAGCGTCTCAAATTATCCTGTTGGTTTAATGACCAGAACTATTTGTTTAATTATCAAGAACTATAGAACTATTGAAAATAAACCCAGAACTCTCAATTATTTATGAATTTCCACGAAATAATACAACTTTACACATACACCTTACTTTTCTTATGCGGATTGCAATTTGGACACTGAGTTTTCAAAAATCGATTTTTTGCTTTTAATTGCTAGAACTATTGATATATTTGACACTTCAGAACTATTGTAAAACAAACTAGAACTCTGAAGAAATAATTGATTTTCATGATTCGGTGCGCTGCGTGAACTTAGCGCACCATATCTTCGGATTCGATTTTTTTATATTTAATCACCAGAACTATTTAAAATTTTTATGTAGAACTCTAGAACTATTCAAAACAATGTCAGAACTCTAAAAAAAACTTTTAGATTTTTAGATATGGTGTGCCAAGTTCACAGGAATGAGAACACGGGAGCAAAAAATGAGCATTCGATAAGTTAAAATAAAGATAACAATAATATTTTAAAAGAAAATAATAAACATTAGAGAATATACAGGCTGATAATTGTCGCCTTTATTCTTAAGTGGCGGTGGTATATGTTGAGTAACAATAACAACGCATCGAAGGTCGGCACGACCGGGCGCAAGAGTATCAAATTACCGGATGCGCGAATTATACTCGGTTTTCCTACCGCGACTATCAGATAGATCTGAGATCCATAAATCTAAGATATTCGCTTGTACATAAATATATGATTCTCCTCATGTGTTTCTTAATAATATAAATGTCGTAACCATAAATCTTTACAATGCAAACGGGTTGTTAAATAACATTTTTTCATCCGGTTTTATACTAGTCGGCATCATTATCTATAGAGTGGAATAAAAATATTAATGAATAAACTGATACATTCGAAATAATTTCATCTTTAATTTGCGTATTTCTTTGTAGATCAAAAAGATAATGAGTAAAATCGAGAGAAATTTGTTGCCGAAATAAATAAAATTTTAGCTGTATTTATATCGATTTTTTTATTTTTCTGAGTAAGTTTTTTGACCGTATATAAGCATTTGGTGTAAATATGAAAATTTTCAAACTTTTCTTCTTTCGAGCTTCAGCTAAGCGCTGCTTGTAAATCCATTTTTAGTTAGCGTAAAGTAGTTACCGTTTTTTCGAAAACGTAACGGCTTACCAGACATAAATGTCTAAATAACAAAATATCAAAAATTATTTCGTCGCTGGACTAATCAAGACACCATTTTAAAAAGTTTATTAATAAAGCATTTTGATCGAACCACTCTGTATACATGGCTTTACAGTAACAGGTAGAACGTTTCTTCTACGATTCGTCATGTCCGATAGTCTCATCACGTTTCTCGTACGGTCTCTACATACATCTCGAAGTGTATACAATATCGATTTTACCGAGTTCAGTGAGCTAAAAATCTACTGCAATGTTTTCATAAGTGTTAACGTAAACAATTTTAAATTCAATTTAAAAAATCTTTCAATGATACACTGGAACAAAAAAAAACTCGCAATAATTTCACTTTGTTGCATTTATACAATTGCACTTAATGTAGCATTTTTCATTTAACTGACATAACTACAAGATAAATACGCTTAAAATTAATAGAACTTTCCAACTGTATAATATTCGAAATATATATAATAATTAATGATGTAGTTATAATTAAGACTAAGCTCGATTGATTTGATCGCTTAATTATTTTAATATTATTAAATCTTCAAAGCTTTTAAACAACATTGCATTGAAAATAAGAGTATAAAATAATTGTTTTGAAAGATTAAACGTACAATTAGTTTAAACTATTATTAAATAAACTATTATAAAAGTAGAGGGCTATTATGATAAAAGTGAACGAATGTGTCAAATTAAAAAAAAAAAAGAAAACACTAAAAATTATTAAAGCCAAATAAATCGAAATGAGCATTCACACACACACACATGTTGTGCCACGCATTACTTAAATTTAAATCATATATTTCAGAAACCATAAGCTTTCATAAACCATAAGCTTCTACAAACCACATGCTTCTACAAATCATAAGTTTCAGAATCGCGAAATTAACAGAAGTAAACAAACATAATACATCTTTTCAAACTGTTATCAGTTCAAACGCTCGAGAAATAATCGAAATAGCTGCTTATCGACATTTTGTTTGAAAGTGCATTCGCATATTTCACTGCGGCTAAGATGTCGTCAAATCTTCGCAATTATACAGTATCATTCGTTTTCTTATTTTTTAGTTTGTGAGTTTATTATTGTGACCGTTAGATTTCTCTATGTGAAACTGTCGCAAAAAAGACACCAAGAAAATTTTTTCTCGAATAAATTCAACGCACCAAATATTCGACAATGTATAAGAAAAGTCTTGCACTTTGGTATTATACGCTTCTACTCATCGCTTCATCTTCGATGCTTTGGCCAAGTTCCATGAGCGATGACAGGGAAAAAAATTATTCGACAGTGCAATATAAGCTTGGTGCAAACATCATGAGAAATGACGACGAAGAAGATTTGATACGATATAATTTGCACGAAAATTTTACCCAAGATAACGATGTCAGGCAGTACGCGTATCGTATCAATTTCTCGAATAACAACAGCAACAATGAAGACTTGATACAATATAAATTTCAAACATATGCCGCAAAGAAACATGAGAATGATAATCAAACATCGGTGCAGTCTCGCATAAACTCAACAGATGCTAGCAGAGAGAAAACGTTCATGTCACGGGAAATCAATGGAAACTTGAAGGGGATCAAAGGCGAAAATGGTTCTACATCATATGATTTCTTTAAAAATTTCGATAGATACAATATCGTTCCGGACAAGATGTGCGACAATATTATCTGCATTCGGTTATGTTGCCCTTTCGGTAATCGTCTGGTTAACGGAAAATGTATTGCTCAGCAGGGTAAATTTATTTTCCTGCAAAACATATATGGATATATTAATAATTCATTGCAAAACGAAAGTAAACAGATAGACGAACTATTTCTTCTGATCGCTCATGATCCGTGTCAAAAGACTGGACATTATTTACTTAGTTCCGACCAGAATACGTTTCTCGTAAATGGCTCTTTGTATCTACCTTATTACAATACAATCGTCGAGCCAACATCTTATTGCATCACGGCTATGGATTACAACATATTTGGTGTGAACGTTTGTTTTGATATTATGAAAGAGATCATGAATAAAAATATAAACTATAATAAAAATACAATTAATCCAGAACCTATAAATGAAAATTGGATGTACATCAAAGATAAGAATGGTTCCACGTCGCACGATTTGATAAAAAATTCCACTAGGGATAATAATAAAAACAGTATTCCAGATGAGATGTGCGACAATATTACTTGCATTAGGTTATGCTGTCCTTTCGGTAATCGCCTGTTTAATGGAACATGCATTGCCGGACAGGGTAATTTTATTTTCCTACCAAGCATATATGGATATTTCAATGATTTGTTGCAAAACGAAAATAAAAGCGTAGACAATCTTTTTCTTCTGGTCGTTCACGATTCCTGTCAGAAGATTGGACAGCCATTCTCCGTTACATTCTCAAATAAGAACATGTTTTTCGTTAATGGCTCTTTATATCTACATTCGTACGACACAATTATTGAATCAACATCTTATTGCCTCGCTAAGGTGGCTCGATACAGATTTAATGTGAATATTTGTTTTGAGATTAAGAAGAAGATCATAGATAATATAAGTGTATCTGTTCAGATTCAAACAAGTGCAATCGTATTTATATGCCGCTTTCTAGAGTCTCTACTGTTTTCGTTCATGTTTATAGTGTACTCCATAGTACCAGAGCTTCGTAATATACACGGTTTCTTATTGTGTGGATACAGCAGTTCGATAGTCATCATGAACACAGTCGAATTGGTAAAGATATTCATCGAAGAGGATGTTATAGGAGACATCTGTATCGCATATGGTATATATTCAAATTGTATAACAAAGCAACCAATGCAGCGTTTACATCTATTTGAATTATTAATGTGTACTGGCGGTTTAACACTTTTTGATAACTTAAATATTTAATTTATAATTTAAAACTTTAAAAACATAAGAGTTAATAATAAAT